TTTAAACTAGACTCATTTGATGCTTTCTTGGTTTTTACATTTTTTTTGTTCTTTATGTAAAAGTAAGATATGCTTTGGTTTCTTTGTTTAATGGGCTGCACTAAATCCTTCCTAAGTAACTCTTAAAAGCACCCATTAAAGCAGACCTTGCATGAAAATGTAAGGTCTGAGTTTCTAGGGGCCTCTTATTGCTAAATAAAAACTGGAATTATCATAAATGTATTATTTGTATATGAATTGTTAATAAAAAAACATTTTTGTATTATATATAAGTACTTACTACTAGTACTATATAAAAGTACTTACCTCTAACCCCAGTTTCTTAAGAAAGCAGGGTTCAGAGGTAAGTACTTGTCCCCAATACACAGCAAGCTGTGGAAAACATCCTCTACAATTTGCAAGCATTTTCCCTCTTAGACCATTGTTACAGAAATAGATGTTCTCATTGCAAAATTTAGATTTACCTCATTCTGGTGACCAATGTAAAGTTTTGGATTTCTCATTACTTTTTCATTGATGACAATAGTGAAAGTGGAAAAGAACGAAAATGGACAAGAGGAGAGGGTAAATTTACCCAGCCAGGACACGCAAAGCAATAAAAACCTTTAGATTATATGTGCCTCTGTGTTTCAGACTACTTGCAGTACTTGTACCTGGCAAAAAAAATGTGCAGTACCTTGGTTGTAGATATAAATACATACAGTATCTTAGCCCCTTGTCACTCTATGGATCCTGTCTCTAGTGAGAATATGCCAGCGACAGGACCACTAGAAAACATGGGGAACACATACCCACTTTGTATGTGTTGCGCCCTCCCTCGCTGCAAAACCTTGACACTTTCCACCTTCAGCAAGTGAAGGAGCACCACATACAAGGAGTAAGTGGTCTGCTCTGTTCTCGATCCTGTGTTAGGGTGGCCACTCTTGCATGTGATAGTAAGCTGTTTGTGTCTCCACAAACACACAAAAACAGACATTTCCCAGCACACTCACCAACCAGTCTGCAAAAATAAAACACTTGCTAACTACTAGGTTTAAAAACAGAGGTTTTAGTTGTACAACTTTGGCAAAATAAGCAAAAGCCACACTGCCTCGTCAAGGCCCCTCTGTGTAGTGTTGTCCTAACTCTAATCCATAAGAGCCTCCACCTTATATGACCAACTGACGTTTGTAGGGAAATTAGCTATAATTAGCTATAATTTCGCGCTGAAGTTGCTAGAGGGACAGACCATTATAAATAGGGAAGTGATTTTTTTCTGAAGATATGGGTAAACAACGCGATTTAACAGCCTTTGAACGTGGGATGATTGTTGGCGAGAGCCATGGAGCGAGCATCAGCAAAACAGCAGAATTCGTTCAATGTTCAAGAGCAGCTGTTGTTAAAGTGTTTAAAGACTGGACTGTCAGCCGAAAATCTGGGTCTGAACGTGCGAATTGTGGCCGTCAGCGACTAGTCAATGTTAGGGCAGAACGGAGAGTGGCAAGGCTGGTACAAGACAACAGAAGGGCAACAGGGCAGTGTCAGATTCCTCGCATCACCTTTCAACATCTCGTGGAGTCACGAGGCGGCCCAACGAAGTCATCTCGTGGAGTTGTGACGAGAGGACGGCGGAGCCCGACGAGCAGCTTCCGGGTCGGCCGTTGTAATTACACGGCTGGGTGCTTTACATTCAAGCGATCAGGCGTCTTTAGAGACGTTCGATCGCTTGTATTAGCAGCTATCACTGCCGTCGCCGGTCCCGAGATCCGCTGTGCCCGATGCGGCCGGGACGGGCCCGGCTCTGTGACAGGAGATCAAAGGGAGATCAGTATACGGTCTCCCTTTGATCTTCTCTCAGTCCCCGATTGCAGGAAGTGATGTATATTACATCACTTCCTGCATTCAGTGTCACTCTCCAGCTACAGAAGTTGATGAAGCTGATCTCTGCTACATCAGCTTCTCTGGGGGTCCCTAGGTGGCATTAGGGGTCTTGGAGACCCCTGATGTCTCCATAAAGAGGACCTGTCATGTAAATTGGCTATCACATAGGGGGCTTCTTAGCCCCCCATGTAATAGCAATAAAGTTGTGTGTAAAAAAAAGGAATACAAAAATTAAAGAATCATAAGAAAAATTAAAAAAAGAAAACAATTTTTTTAAGTCCCCGCCCCCCAAATAGACACGCAGATATGCGTCGGGTGCGCCTACGTGCGAAAACAACGATTGCACCTATTGTGCCGCACATGTTACATATCGCCGCAAACGTTGGAGTGAGAGCAATAATTTTAGGGCCATTAATCACTGATAACACTAAAGTGATGAGCAGTGAAAGCGTTTTAGACGTCGCCTATGGGTCTATGGGCGTTTTTTGCGATTTTGCGGGCGCACGCAATTTTAAGGCTTGACATGTTTGGTGTCTATGTACCCGACGTGATCCCGACTTTTATGTTTTCCAAAAATATGGGTAAGAATAAATGTTTTATAACAGAATGTAGGGAAACTTTGTTTTTTTTTACATTTCCGGTACTTTTTCCATTATATAGTAAAAAAAATATCCACCCCCGTGGTCTGTTCCCTTCCATGTGCACCCTGCTTTAAAGCTATTTATGACACAATGGGGGCTTCGGCTGCCATTGTGGAGTGCATGGCTTCTAGTGTCCCTGTGCCTTTAAGGAGGTTGGGCTACCTCCTGGCAAGCCTGCACCTAATTCATTAATTCATCCTTTGCTTGCATATATGCTCCAAGATGGAGGCTCTCATAGAGTGGCCCGGACGAGGCAGTGATGCTTCCACATATTTCTCAAACGTTGTACAACTAAAACCTCTGTTTTTAACCCTATTAGTTAGCCAGTTTTTTTGTTTTTTTTTGCAAGCTGGCTGGTGATTGTGCTGGAAATTTTTTGTTTTTGTACTTTGTAAAGCCCTTCCATGTGCACCTTGCTTTAAAACCAGTTATGAATTGATGAGTGTGTTTTCCATTTCTTTCACTCCACAAACACACAGAAACAGCAAGGCAAGCCACTGCCCTGCTCCCTACTCCTCCCTGCTACTTTCTCCAAGCTAGTAGATGGACAGCTGCTGGAGACCTTGTGAGTTTGGACAGGAAGTTCAGAGAATCCAAGCTGAGAGAGTTGCAGCCAGCTGTTTGGAAACATAACTGTGAGTTCTTGGTCAAAAATGTAAGGAAATATATTGCTGGGAATTTTTTTTTATATGAATTCAATAGTGAAAAAAGTTTTTGAGAGTTTAATACTACTTTAATGCCAGAGTCACTAAGCTAATTCCGATACCTATATGGGATGTCAACAACAGCAACCCTGCAAGAAAATGAATAAATAATATGCCCCTGTAGTGCGAGGAAAGAAGGCTCTTGATTTTGCAGCCACTTGCTTGCCATATGCTCTACTCAGGAGTTCAGGAAAAGGCGACAAGGCAAGGGGATAGTGACAATGGGATTCCTGCAGCTGAATTTCCAGGTCTGACTACCTATCTGGGAATTATGCTGCTTTTTGGTGTTTTTACATATTAAAAAAATGCTGGCAAGGTAAACGTGACAGCATGTGGTGTAAAGCATGCTTTGTGCACAAATAAAGGTAATTTTTTTTATTATTATGATTTAAGTCTTATTACGTTTAATAAATGTAGAATACAGTAAAGATAGACAATGTACCGTATATACTCGAGTATAAGCCGTCCCGAATATAAGCCGAGGTACCTAATTTTACCCAAAAAAACTGGGAAAAAGTATTGACCCGAATATAAGCCGAGGGTGGGAAATGAGGCAGCTAATGGTAGATAGATACCAATAAAATTACATTAATATTTATGTAAAAGAAAAATAGCCTAGCTCTGTAAGTGGAAAAGGGGGTAAACGGCTACATATCATGTACTACGGATCATTTAACCCATTCATATTAGCAGAGGATAATTGAGGATAAATAGAGGATAAATCTATTCTTCAGTGCACTCTATATGTAGTATATAGTACATGTACATATAGAGTGCCTGCAACAATACATTTACAATGATCCTCTGCTAACATGAATGGGTTAAATGATCCATAGTACAGGGCTACATACAGATCATTTAATACATTCATGTTAGTATCATTGTAAATGTATTGTCTGCACTATATTAGCAGTATATACTCCATATAGAGTATATACTGCTAATACAGTGCAGACAATACATAATTGGTTACTGTAATAAATCCCCCCAAATCTCCCCTCACTTACTGTGATTCACTGTGCCGGAGCAGGGACGAGTCAGCGGCGCGCTGGTCCAGTGGGAGGAGCTCCAGGTGGGGTCCTAATTTAGCTGACTAGAGGTGCCTGCCCGATAATTACAACCCCACCTGGAGCTCCTTTCGTCTGACCAGCGCGCCGCTGACACATCCCTGCTCCCCTGCTGTACTGGCGCTGCGGGGTTTTTTTTCTTTTCTTCTTACTTACCTCGCCGAGCGTCGCGTCACTGCTGCTCCGGTGGGCGGCGCTCCGAGCGGGGTCATCTGGCAGTCTCCGGCCACCTAAATTAGGACCCGGAGACTGCCAGATGACCCCGCTCGGAGCGCCGCACACCGGAGCAGCAGTGACGCGACGCTCGGCAGGGTAAGTAAGAAGACGCGCTGGCGCTGACTCGAGTATAAGCCGAGGGGGGCACTTTTCAGCCAACAAAATGGGCTGAAAATCTCGGCTTATACTCGAGTATATACAGTAAGTATTAAAAATTAGTCTAAAATATGCACACATTTGCAGTGCATGCACTTGCTAATTTATGGAACTAATTTAAGAATAAATATGGTTTATATATTCAACACACAAATGCTTAATCAAATTCAGAGGATTATGCGTACTGAGGGTTCTTATTCCCAAGAAAACACATTACATGTACTGTATTACGTATGCATTAAATAAAATTAGAGCCATAAAGCTTATTTAGGCCATTTGGAGAATGCTTAAATGAACAACTGACAATATGCAATCATCTATGCCAAACACGTCCTTAGACACAGATCATTTCTTACCTGGAATGTTGTAAGTTTGTTCCTCAGGTTCACAAGGATTACTCTGGCCAGCACTAAGAAGATTGGATTGGCTGTCAAGCTGTAGACTGATTCTCCATCAAGAACAAGCGTGCTGAGAATTGCAACACACAATGCTTTGCTCTGGAAAACATTGAAAAATACAAATCAATTAAACTGAAGAATGCAGCTATAGCACATAGCTGTTGAACCTGAAACTTAACTGTACAACTTACTGTACAACTTACATAAAAGTGTAACTGAATCTATTCATTGAGGTTAGGGCTGAAATAGCTAATCGATAAAATTGATAATGAGAATCATTGTCAACTCATTATCGATTAGCTGAATCCGCCGCCGCTGCCACTTTGCTCCCCATTCTCCTCCCCGTCTGTCTGTGTCCATTTCAGTCCTCGCTGCTCCCCCACCTGTATCGGCAGAGGCAGCGGGGACACAGACCACTGCAGCTGGCACGAGCAGGGAAGAGATACTGCTGTGCATCTGCATTCG